CTTATCTATTGAATCGCGGTATATCCATATCGGGGACTTGACTTGCGGGGGGGAAGGTTCGCGAAGGTTTTCATATCGGGCTGGAAGCAGTGAGTGGTCGGCGATCTAGCTCTAACGGTGCTCTTTCGCCCTGTTTCTGTCTTGTGCTGTGATAGGGAATCATCGTCGCGCCACCCCGGAGCTCCGGAGTGGGGTTCTCGACCGCGTAGAATCATGTCCTTCCGATCGCGTCGTCGGGTCGGCTGGATGCCGATCCCCGGATACCAGGGCCACGCGGTGGAATGCGGCGGCATTCCCGCGCGGCGTGTTTGGCGCTGACGAGGCTTTCTGTATTATAGGGTACAGTCGTCGCTTACCACTACGCGATGACGTTCAACCGTCGGTATCTTGTCAGATGATTGGCCAGTACCGATGATTCCGACTATTGGAGACGCAGGAGCTGGGTCTAGTGCAGCATGTACGGTTTTTCTCACTATTGACAGAAGAGGGCGTGTTACCGCGAGTACTTTTCACTATGAGCAGCGCGTTACCGCAGTACAGTCTTTTCGACTACTGCAGCGCGTTAGCAGGTAACGTATTTTCAGCTATGACAGGCGGGTGTTACCGCCAGTACGGATGTTCTTCACTATTGACAGCGTGTTAAGCCACAGTCCCTTTTTTCAATATTGAGCAGCCGGGCGGCGCGTTATGCGAGTAGGCGCACGACGTTTTCACTTGGAGAGGAGGGACGCCAGTGTGCTGGGGCGGTTTTTTCACTATGACAGCGCGTTATGGCAGTACGTTTTCTCCTATGGCGAGCGGTCGTGTTACGGAGCACGTTTTTTCACTATTGACGCGTATTATGGCAGTAGTTTTCCCCACTATGATCAGCCGCGTGGATGCGTACGTTTTTCACTTTGACAGGCGTTATGCAGTACGTTTTTCACTTGCGAGAACATGTACGGAGCAGTTTTTCACTATGACAGCGCGTTACGCCCAGTACGTTATTCACTATTACGGTCGCGTTACGCAGTACTGTTATCACTATGTACAGGGCGTTTAGCGTTACGGTTTTTCACTCAATTGACAGCGGTGTACGGCCAGTCGTTATTACTATTCAGCGCGTTACGCTAGTACTGTTTTTCACTATGACAGCGCGTTACGCAGTACGTTTTTCACTATGACAGCGTGTTACGCAGGTACGTTATTCACTATCTACAGCGTGTTTACTCAGTACGTTTTTCACTATGCAATGCCGTTACGCAGTTACCTTATTCAATTTACAGCCGTGTTACGCAGTACGTTTTCCACTATTGACAGCTGCCGTTCGCAGTCGTTTTCCTATTACAGCGTGTTACGCCAGTACGTTTTTCACGTACTGACAGCGCGTTACGCACGTACGTTTTTCACTGATTGCAGGCGTTAGCAGTACGTTATTCACTATGGGACGGTGTTACGCAGTACGTGTTTCACTTTGACAGCGCGGTTACTGACAGTTTACCGTTATGTCACTATCTACAGCGTGTTACGCAGTTACGTTTTTCATACTGAAGCGCGTTACGCCAACAGTACGTTTCTTCACTATTGACCAGCCGGTTCGCAGTACGTTTTTCACTATTACAGCGTGTTATTGCCAGTACGTTATTCACTTTACAGCGTGTTATGCGTACGTTATTCACATTCTACGCGTGTTACGCAGTAAGTTTTTCATATTCGGAACAGGACCGCGTGTTACTCCAGTACGTTTATTCTGACCATCGCAATATAAGCGATGTGGCGTGTTGCGTTTCGTGGATTTACTACAATATTTGTTGTGGTTTTTTCTTCGCACGCCGTTTACTACTTGTGGGATTATTTGATACTCACCATTACACTCGTGCTTATCATAATATATATATATATATATATATATACGATGATGTAGTCTTGACGCAAACGTTGTTGGCTTGCTGCTGCTGGACTGCTGCGATATTATATATTATAATATTATATATAATATATACTTATATTATATTTAACGATGTAGTAATGACTCAAACGCTTTTTCTTGCCCTGCTGTTGCAGGACATGTTTGTAGTAGTGGCCAGTTCAATCGTGGTGCTATGCATGGACAGCGGTGGACGCGTGTTCGCGACGTCGGCCCTCAGAGGCCTGCGCTTTTTCCAGATCCTGCGCATGGTGCGCATGGACCGACGAGGCGGCACGTGGAAGCTGCTTGGCTCCGTTGTATGGGCCCACCGACAGGTACGTATCTGGTGGAAAGTTCGGTGTACAGTACATTATGTCTATACAGATACATTGCAGATACTATGTGCCCACCGACGGTAGAAGTATGTATAGGTATCAGGTAGTAGGTACTAGCTATATACATGTACATTATGTATAGGTATCAGGTAGTAGGTACTAGCTATATACATGTACATTATGTATAGGTATCAACCGTATCATGCAGAGTACTATGGGTACATAGATACAATAAGTATAGGTATTAGGGTAGTAGCCAGTAGTAGCCAGTATCAGGGTATTAGGGTAGTAGGGTATCAGCTAGTAGGTACTAGCTATATACATGTACAGTATGTATAGGTATCAACCGTATCATGCAGAGTACTATGGGTACATAGATACAATAAGTATAGGTATTAGGGTAGTAGCCAGTAGTAGCCAGTATCAGGGTATTAGGGTAGTAGGGTATCAGGGTAGTAGGTACTAGCTATATACAGATACATTGCAGAGTACTATGGGGCAACCGACAGGTAGGTATCTGGTAGAAAGTCATGAAGGTATAAACAGGTACATTAGGTATAGGTATCAGGTAGGGTACTAAATGAACAGGCTCTGTTGTATGAACCCACCGACAAGGTAGGTATCAGGGTAGTAGTTACTAGCTATAACATATACAGGTACATTAGGTATAGGTATCATACAGAGTACAATCTATATAGGTATATTAAGTATAGGTATCAGGCAGGGTACTAGCTATACAGTTACATTACAGAATACTATGAGCCGACTGACAGGCAGGTATCATGGTAGTAGGTGCTAGCTATAAAGATACATTAGGTATAGGTATCATGCAGAGTACTATCGGTATATTGGAGCATAGAGCAATCAGAGATAGCAAACCTCCGCCACAGCGTAACAGTCCCCCCATCATCTTCCTGCTACACCCAATATAGAGTTTGATGAATTTTTCCGAAATTTGGGGGGGGAACCTGGATTTTTTTGATGAATTTTGAATGAATGAAAAATGAATGAATTTTGAATGAAGTCTTCCCCACAAAAAAATAACAAAAATCCTAGATCCAGTTCTGGATCCGCATCACCACCAAAATCTAATCGATTGGTTCTTGGCCCAAGAACAACCCGTCCAAAAAATTGCATCAAAATCCGTCCGTAACTTTTTGAGATATCCTGTTGACAGACATACAAACTAATAAACCAACAAACAAACAAAGGAACAAAGGCGAAAACATAACTTCCTTGGCGGAGGTAACTATATAGGTGTAAGTTAGGGTACTAGCTATTCGGAAACATTGCAGAATGTACTATGGGCCCACCGACATGTAGGTATCAAGGTAGCGGGTACTAGCTATATACATGTACACTAGTTGTAGGTGCCATCCAGAGCACTATCTATATAGGTTAATTAAGTATAAGTTTCAGCTAAGATACTAGGTAAACAGGTACATTAGGTATAGGTATCACTTAGGGTACTAGCTACACGGGTATATTAGGTATATGCATTAGGTCGGATGCTATATATACAAGTACGTTAGTTAGTGATAACAGTTAGAGTATTAGCCATACAGGTACACTAGTTATAGGTATCAGGTAGTTTATACAGGTACACTAAGTATAGCTATTAAGCAGCGGATTATGTACAGGTATCAGGCAAGGTACTAATTATACAGGTATCAGGTATAAGTATATCTGGATAGGTAGGGTGCCAGCACTAGCATGATGTAGCACAGAGTACATACTCCGCCACGAGGAATCGTCACGTATAAGTCATATCATTCTTCGCCGCAGATGGGCGTCTTCTGTAGATTAATTGTATGGTTGTTGTATGTATGGTATGTATGTATGTATGTGTGTGCTGTGTGTGTGTGTGTGTGTGTGTGTGTGGTGTGTGTGTGTGTGTGTGTGTGGTGTGTGTGGGTTAGTGTATGTATGTTGTATGGTATGTATGTATGTATGTATTATGTATGTATGTATGTATGTATGTATGTATGTATGTATGTATGTATGATGTATGTATGTATAGGTCTACTCGCTTGATACGTGTGTGGTTTTCTTCCGCAGGTTGGCTTTTTTTTTGGGGGAGGACTTTTAAAAAACGTTATATATCGGCTTCCTCGGTCTCATCTTCTCATCATTCCTCGTGTTCTTGGCTGAAAGAGACGTCGAGCCCGCGATAGATAATAAGTTCAAAAGCTATGCAGATGCCCTCTGGTGGGGTGTGGTAAGTATAATGATATATCCGCAGGTGTATGAATATTAGGAGTGTATATTTAGGACTATAACTATATACTATACGTGTACTATTTATTTATCGATATTTATTACTAGAGACTATATGCATATAGTAAGTAAGCTACTATATTTTTATAGTCTATATTATACACTTAATATATTTACACTGCTGTTAATATTTGAAATCGTCGTGTGTGTGGGATGTAGATGTAGGAGTCTGGTAGATCCAGGATACACTCCGCAACTAGATTTCTAATAATCTATGTTACTATTTGGTGTTCATTAATGATAAGAAATCTAAAGTAAGATGGCTCACACGCTGCGACAGACACACAACGCAACACTTGCCGCGCAACACACCACACGCACAGCACCACCACACGCGCGCACACACAACACGCACACACGCACACACACACAACGCCACACGCACACACACACGCGCGCGCGCCAACACGCGACACACGCACACAGCCACACACGCCACAGCACAACCCGCGCGCGCACACACACAACACACGACACACGCCACACGCACAACACACGACCACGCACCACAGCACAACTGCTGCGGCACCACACGCGCGCGCGCCACACACACACGACACACGGCGCACAACACACACGACACACGCACACACACACAGCCACACGCACACACAGGCGCGCGACACCAACACACTGCGCGCGCGCGCGCGCACCACACCACACACGCACACACCGGCCGCGCACAACACGCGCCGCAACACACACACGCCACACCACGCGCGGCACACACTCGCTCTCTCCTTCCTCTCTCTGTCTTTTTTATCTCTCTCTCTCTCTCTCTCTCTCGTCTCTCTCTTCTTCTCTCTCTCTCTCTCTCTCTCTCTCTCTCTCTCTCTCGTCTCTTGCTTCTCGCGCACGCGCGCTCACTTCTCTCTCGCTCCTCTCTCTCTCTCTCTCTCTCTATTTCGCCCCTTCTTTTTTCACCCTCCCTCTTTTTTTCTTTCGTCCTTACTTTCTCTCTCGTTAATTTTTAAACCATTTTCACATAATTTCATAAGCAAGAGTTTACGTTGCAAAAAAATCGAATGATATCTGTCTCTGGTGATTGTATTAATGCACGCTCGGCCCTTTTAGATAACTCTATGCACGCGATGGGATGTTTTATGGCGACATTGCGTGCCGTCGGACCTGGGCGTAGGCAAGATTATTGGCTGTTTCTGCGCGCTCCTGGGCATCTCGTTCTTCGCTCTACAGCCGTAAGTATACATGGTAATCGTCGTTATATATTAGTTGGTCTTCACATATTACGTTTTAAGCATAGCGTATCCGATAACGATAATTTATCGTGCTGCGCTTCGACTGCTCCGCTAGCAATCATTTAAAGTTTCTATCAGCCCAACCGGTTGAGCTTTTTCAGTCGGTTTGCGGTGTCTGCCGCGATGACAGGCCGAGGCGAATGCTACGGTGAGATATTTAGTTGCCGTATCGTTGGGCTCCTGTGATTTTTGCGTTTTGATGCAGTTTTCGTGAGTTTTCACGTGTCATTAGATGAGTTGCGATAGATCATATGTAACATTCGACCTTTGCATATATATATACTTATATACTATATATATAGTATATATATATATATATATATATATATATTATATATATAGGCTATAACCAACATTATGCTATTATTTGCTAAATGCTTATATATAGGTGTGTTATCACTAAATCACACCGCGCGCTCGCATGTAGGCACCGCATACACGCACACGCACACACACAGCACACCCGCACGCGCACGCGACACACAACACCACACCACCACACACACACACAACACACACGCAGTACGACACGCACAGCACGCACCACACATCAATACACACACACACACACGCACGTACACACACCACACGTGCACACACACCTACAAACCCACACACCACACACAACCACTTGTTCACACCACACACACACACACACACACACACCACAACACCGCACACACACACGAACGGCACGCACACGCACGCACCGCACGACGCGCGCACCAACCTAAACACATACACACACGCCACCACAGCACACACAACACACACACACACAAACACACACACACATATATATATATGTAAGTTTGTTTATACGTGTATATCGATGCTCTTGCAGGGAATCCTTGGCTCGGGATTCGCGTTGAAGGTTCAGCAGCATCAGCGGCAGAAGCATCTGAACAGGCGGCGGCAGCCGGCAGCCATGCTCATCCAGAGTCTATGGCGCTGCTACGCTGCCGACGAAAACTCGCTGTCGCTAGCCACGTGGAAGGTGCACCTGCGCCAGCCGAGTCCCACGACGTAAGTGTACTTGTGCGGACGTGCGCACTGCAGTGTCTCACGCCTGCTTGCGAGTCTCGAGTCGCCTTAATCATGATAATAATTATGTTGTTGTTGTGGTGACGTATAGTGCCGTTGCTGGTTAGGGGAATGAAGACGAGCGAGCGCAGAGTAGGCTTGTGGATGTTTTCATAACGTTTATAATAGTGTCATGATATTTATAAGAATTATTATTGTTATTATCATTATCATTATTATTATTATTTATGGTAAAATAGGTTTATAATAGTACTACCATAAACTTAAAAATAATATCATCGTATAAGTATTTATGACGATTATAAAAATAAAATGGCATGGAAACACATTTACTGGACAGGACACAACACTTCAAAGATTTTGAAATTATAGACTTGTGCTGTCGTAAAAGTAAAAGTAAATTACTCGTGATACTGTTTCTCGTAACGGTCAACATTTCTCGTTCAATCAAAGAAAATTCGTGAACCGTGGTCGGTGGCTTAAAAAACAGCGTTCGTAAATGATCGACTTGTTACATCTGCGTTACACGTCACATGCACGTTCACTTGTCATCGTGCTCATGCCTGCACTATCGTATATACGATATATCGTATATATCGATATATCGTATATATCGATATATCGTATATATCGATATATCGTATATATCAATATATCGTATATATCGATATATCGTATATATCGTATACACGATCGTATATATCGTATCCGCTGTATTCAGTGAGCCGCAGACAATATTTTGTATCACATTTAAGCTGCATTTGCTTTTTATTCATGCAGACGGTTGTTAGGTACTAAATAATGTACTACATAATGCATACCTGTCGTATTCACCGAGTACGATCGTGTGTAGGTAAATTGACAAACCGTCGCGCGGTAGGCGTTGCCGGTGACGCGACTAAAATGCACACTCAAACAAGAGAGCATTGAAATGTTGACAACTCTACGTAGGCGAGAGGTCGAGTCAAGTGTGGCAGTTGGGTGCATATTTAAGGTAGAGTAGAGAGCGTGCAAACGCGACGAGAGCAGTTAGTGTGTTTTTGCTCCTTATTGGAGCGTCTCAGCTGCCTAGCAGTACTTGCATGCGCAATGTGCCCTCTAACCATTTTCTGCAAAAGTCATATACTGTATATGATTTTATATACTTGATCGTATATAATGATATTCTAATTATATGAAATTATAATACAAATAAAACCTTTGTCGTTAAGTAGTCCGATCTGGATTTACGACTGCTTCACGTAGTGAGAAGCGAGAAGGGAACTTGCGGTTAATCAATCGATCATCGAGTGATTAGCTCATCGAACCCACCGCGTTGATATATAGTGCCTGCGAGGCTGCGTGTATCTTTGTCTTGTAGAGGTGGTCCAGTTCCTGGTCTCTATTTCACGCATGCCCGTCATGTGCGAATACTTAAACAACTATCATTAAAAAGCAAGCTAGTCTGGTTATTTAAGCACATAAATGCCACATATATACATATATAGGGCCTACATATTATATAATGTACATACATATACATACATACATAATTATATACATATATATATATACATATATAAGGTACATATATACAACTTGTACATGACATTAATATACAGTACGCATCTATTTTGTTAAACTACTATTTACTATATCGGAACGAGATATTGTCAGGTATTTATGAGTCTGGTCAGGTTGGATATCAACAGGACCCGTAGTTATGGATATCTATCACTCTGGTTCGTGTAGTAACAGCTGATCTATGTACCCAAGCTATGACTAAACGAGTTCAATGCGGAGTGATACTACATTAGGAGTGTTCCCAACTTTAATGTCATTAATGGTCATAATAACATATATATATATATACAGGAGTAGATAAGTTTGTGGTTTAATGTCATTTAGGTTAGGGTTAAGGTTAGGATTATCAATCTTTAATCATTAATGATATCAAAGTTGGGAACACTCCTAATGGAGCGTCAGCCTCAATGCGGCTGAACTTTGCATGTGTACGCGAGCATGTGCGTGCGCGCGTTCGTGCGTTTGTGTGCGCCCGCGTTTGTGTGTAATTGCGTGCGAGCTTGTGTGCGCGCGTGCGTGTGTATGTGTGTGCGTGCGTGCGCGCGTGCGTGTGTGTGTGCGCGTGCGCGCGTGTGTGCGGGTCTATAGGTGTGTGTGTGTGTCTGTAGGTGTGTGTGTGTGTGTGTGCGTGTGTGCGGGTCTGTAGGTGTGCGTGTGTGTCTGTAGGTGTGCGTGTGTGTCTGTAGGTGTGTGTGCGTGTATGCGCACGTGTGTGTGAGTGAATCTATTTCTCCAATCAATGGATGGTTATGAAAACAAATGCTTCGGAGTGCGTATACCACTCCTGACTTCAATGTCTACGCTAGTCCACAGGCACTTGGAGCGTTTCAATAAAATATAATCCTAAATAAATACGAAATCTATTTACTACCAAAGTCTTAATGTTTCTATACTCTCTTTCACCTATTATTGCCGACAATTTCCTGTAAATGCCGTCCTTATCTGCAACAAACCCTGGCTGTCGCTGCACACTGACACATAAATATATATTTATGTGTCAGTGTGCAGCGGGAGCCATGGCGGCAGCCAGCGTTTGTTACAGTCTACAGATGAGCATTTGGACGGCATTTGCAGGAAATTGTCGGCAATAATAGGCGAAACAGAGTATAGAAACATTAAGACTTTGGTAGTAAATAGATTTCGTGTTTATTTAGCATTATATTTTATTGAAACGCTCCAAGTGCCTGTGCGCTAGTCTCGCTTGTATCTACTGTTGTTCTATCTGTGTGTCTGTGCTTGCATGCGCTATCGTCAGTACATAACCATAGCATTTTCTACACTCGCAGGTTTACACTAGACGTGCCCACGAAACCAAGGTATAAATAAAAAAATATTTACGGAGATCGTTTGAAATACGTTTTGAAACCTTTGTTTTAATTTGTGTGTGATATCAATAGATGCCTAACTCAACACATCATTTCATCTGCATCCGTGTGTTCGATTTCTTTTCGGTCTGAGCTAGTCTGGCATGATAGAGTTAATTAAGCTGCACTTATAAATAGAGAAGAAATTTCAAAGATTAAGCGAACGGAAAACGGCAAATCTTTAATTTGGCATGCGTGCGAGTCAGATATAGATTAACGTCACCGTACTAATTACTGTATATAAAAACGTAGACAACACTTAGAGTGCAGAACATCACCTCTTACGCAACACGACTTGCTTCTTTCAAGCGGGTCAACCAGGCATGAATACCATAATAATTACGAGTACATTTTGGATGAACCTTTTAGCATGTGTAGGCCTAATTGTTTTAATATACTTGCTGGTACGGTTATGACTCGTCCTTTGATATATCATGTTAATTCTACACAGCACTACAAGTGTGTGCATTAATTTGTAGAAATATCATAGTAGTGCAGACAGTGCATGTAAAGATACGCGTGTACTTACGTGAAAGCATTTCGATTAATATAAATGTAATCGTCACATTAACGCCGTCATGTGCTTGACGTTAGCTCATGGGACACCTATTGGTCACAGCTGGCATTGTCTTCTTCTCATAGAGATGATTCATTCATATAAGCTTTGACGATATATAAATAAATAAATAAGTAAATGAATACATAAATAAATAAATAAATAAATAAATAAATATATATATATATATATATATATTGATTTTCTTATTATTATTCTAGGAGTGGAATTTCGTCGTTTAGTCGTAGAGAAACGTCACAGAGAACAACAAATTTACGCACTTTATGCTCATCGATAGCTATCTGTGCATCTTTGATGGACGGCCTCCTCCAAAAACATAAATTTCTAAACTGTGTAGTTTATTGTCTGTATTTACGCTCTCCATAAACTACAATAAATATAATTCACTACATCTCAGAACGCCAATGCGTGGCGATGACGCCGAGCGGGTCGAAGAGGATTTCGTAAAAAGAAAAGAACAGCGTTTAGAATTAATTCACGCTGTATTTTGATGCGTAACTCGCTCGAACGGCTTCGAAGCTAATGCCGCTTTAAAATATCCATATTAACTAAAAATAAAATCGTCATCGTTGTCGCCGTTCTTAAGCGTGAAGACGGGGAAATATCAGAGAACAGCTTCCGATAGTCGTCTGACGGAGTTCCGTGTGTTCGTAGGTTCAAGCACAACTCGTCGTTCGTGAGTCGTTTCTCGGTACGCCGCAAGGAGCGAAGCAGCGGCAACTTGTCGCCCCAGCTGAAGAACAGTCCCGGCATGCCCCGCTCGAACATGCTAGATGTGGACAGCAACAGCAGCCAGCTCAATCTCACCGAACACCCCAGCCTTAGAAAGGTCGACTCGATGCTCTCAATGAAGGAAGAAGGTTCGTTCCCAGGCATTCGCTGGCCCTATACGGCGCCTATATACACGTCGCTGGCCCTATACTAGACCTATATACACGTCGCTGGCCCTATACTAGACCTATATACACGTCGCTGGCCCTATACTAGACCTATATACACGTCGCTGGCCCTATACTAGACCTATACTCACGTCGCTGGCCCTATACTAGACCTATATACACGTCGCTGGTCCTATACTAGACCTATATACACGTCGCTGGCTCTATACAGCGCCTATATACACGTCGCTGGCTCTATACTAGACCTATATACACGTCGCTGGCCCTATACTAGACCTATATACACGTCGCTGGCCCTATACTAGACCTATATACACGTCGCTGGTCCTATACTGGACCTATATACACGTCGCTGGCTCTATACAGCGCCTATATACACGTCACTGGCTCTATACAAGACCTATATACACGTCGCTGGCCTTATACTAGACCTATATACACGTCGCTGGCCCTATACTAGACCTATATACACGTCGCTGGTCCTATACTAGACCTATATACACGTCACTGGCTCTATACTAGACCTATATACACGTCGCTGGCCCTATACTATAGGGCGCCCCCGACGCCCGGTGAAAGTTGCCGAATCGAACCCCCGTCGGGTTTTTCGTATCTGTGTCAGAGTTGCGCGGCGAGCGTAGGCGGCGCAGGGTAAAATTTCGTTGCTGCGCTGTCGTCGGTTTGCGTCACTGATCTCTATATACTAACATATAGTTACAAGAACTAATAATACCTAAATAATGGTAATGTAATATCTATAATAATAGGTATTATTAGCTCTTGATAGTTATATATAGAGTTATACATAGTTAGTATATAGAGATCAGTGGTATGCGTTCTTCCTGCGCGCTCTCGGCGGCTTGCCTGCAGCCGCTATATAAGCATGGCAAGGCTGTTTGCGCGTGAAGCTCTTACTTGTAGCACACGTCGTGGACTGTTTATGCGTGCATGCGACGAATTTTCTATGCGGCTTGCATGTATAAACACAGTTTTCTTACGGCAAGGGCAAAGGCAGGGCAAAATTTCTGTTATAAAATTTCTGTCACCTCCCAGTTATCCAGGTAAAAATATGCAATTTCTCAGTTACCGGTTAAGTATAAGATCTCAATTTTTGCTGTCTCGCATCTCGGTCCCGACTTCTATTCCCAAATCATGCGAAACATCTCCGGATAATTAAAATCTTCTTTAAATCCGCCCCCCTCCCGCGAAAACAAACGTCACGCCCTCTAGTGCAATGACGTCAGGAGTGTCATAATATAGACTATATTATAGACTATATCATAGACTATATCATAGACTATATCATAGACTATATCATAGACTATATCATAGACTATATCATAGACTATATCATAGACTATATCATAGACTATATCATAGACTATATCATAGACTATACCATAGACTATATCATAGACTATATCATAGACTATATCATAGACTATATTATAGACTATATCATAGAATATATTAGAGACTATATTATAGACTATATCATAGACTATATCATAGACTATATTATAGACTATATTATAGACTATATCATAGACTATATCATAGACTATATTATAGACTATATCATAGACTATATCATAGACTATATTATAGACTATATCATAGACTATATCATAGACTATATTATAGACTATATCATAAACTATATTATAGACTATTATAGACTATATTATAGACTATACCATAGACTATAGCATAGACTATATTATAGACTATATCATAGACTATATTATAGACTATATTATAGACTATATTATAGACTATATTATAGACTATATTATAGACTATATTATAGACTATATTATAGACTATATTATAGACTATTATTATAGACTATA